CGATGAAATAAGCGAACATAACGCGTCTTGATTACAAACGGACGATTTCGTTCCGCGGAATACGGTAAATGTGCGCCGCGCTCGCGCTCGCGCGCGCGCGCGCGCACGAGGTAACGGGGTGCGCGGAGTCATTAATAATAATTAAGTATTCTAACCGTATCCGTAATAACCGCGCGAACGCTAACGACGGCAATGCGTAAATTGAGTATGTAATATCTCGCGTGATGGAGTTATCTGTCCTGTCCGGCGACGGCGGGTCGCTGTGCCGGGTTACGACGCGGCGTATGGCCGTAGCGAGATTACACGTACACTGAAAGAAAGCTCATTACGCGTTACCTTAAGAATCGCCATCACGTCTCAATTTGTACGGACGACGTTGCGTCGCGCCATGCGAACGGTGTCGTCGCGCGAACGGTTACGTCGACGGTTACGTTGGTTGCGTCAAAACATATTCCATTTTCGATCGTGCATCGCGTGACGCGTTCTCAGCATCGCGCTAAATGGAACAGATTAATAGAGAAAGGAAGGAAGACGAAAGGAATCTCCTTCTAAATAAGAATAAGATATGCGTCTAATTGGGAGTAAATTTAATCAACTTTAATTAATTCCCCGAGTCAGATGGTAACACACTCGCTGGCGGGTGTGATATAAATAGAGACAGGAAGAAAATTCAATTAACCACGGCTTAATTATCCGTGATTAATTGAATTCGCTTCCTCTACCCGTATCGTAGCGGCCAGCGCTACGATCTGAAGAGAGAAATCGGAGAGAATCGCCTATAGGTCGCGATTAAAATTAAACCACCGATATCGATCGAAAATCATCACCCGGCCGATGGGATTTAATTGGTAACGCCGTAGCGCGATAATTCTCCGCTTCGCGGAGAAGTCGCGTCGTTTTGCGCGCCACGGCAAACCGGTATGAACCGGAATGAACATACAATGTGCGCGCATGTGAAAGAAGGACTCTCGGCGCGTAATTGCGGGTTGCGGAGGTGATACGAGTCGCACCATTCATCCCGATATCGAATGAAAATCGCTGGGAACTGTTCGCGTGCGCGCGAACACGTGTGCCCTCAACGGGCATGCCGATTTCGCGTATGGGAAATCGGATCTAGCGTATGGGAAATCGGATCGCCCTCGTCACTAGGGCGGGAAAAGTCAAGTGAAACGGTGTTCATTTTTCTTCATGTGTTGGAAGGAGAGGAGAGGCTTCGCGAGAATTAACTTGAGCAACGGTGCGTCTCTCCTTTGTACGTGATTATAATTCCACATTTCTTCGGGACGGGACGGTGCGTGCCCCGATCATTTATACGTTTTCGCATCGTGGGGGAGGGAAGGAAGCGCGCTTGGTCAGACACGATTATTACACATAGTGCACATGCGAGCACGTCGATCACGAATGTCTAAAGGTATAACGATCGTATTATCTTGGGCGTCCATTGTCATGCTAAACTCGGATATGCGCCCGCTCGACATCGATGTCCAAATCCCTAATTTTACGGCTGCTGTAATCGGCCGTGCTCTGTTTCCGTCCGTTATATAATCCTCTGGTTGACTTATTATCGCACTCGATCGCCATTATCGTACTTTCTTCTTATTCTCCACCGAACAATGACCGGAATCGTCAGGACTTAACATGCGCGTTAAGTGTCTTGTCTTAATCGAAAATAATATTTATCGAGGGCAAACACCTGGCTGATGTTACCCCCACCCTCGACTAGCGGTATAAAATACCGACATCCTGTATACGTGTAATGAAACTATGTTGCAAAATAAAGTGGGCACGCCGGTCGCGGTTATCGTGGAACTTCCCGCGCGCAGCACGCTTTTAGGAAGGCGTTATTTTCAAACGCCTATTTACGATGCAGATCGTAATTAGCTCGAAGTAGAACGCCGTGAACGTATTAAGATTAAAATAATTTCGCTTCCTATAAGGAACGAATAAAGATTCGTTATTACCCGCGGAAATGGATTTCTCGGTTCTCGCGCGGTCACGATAAGTTTCCGCGAGTATTTGGATGCCGCGTCACGCGATTACACTCCTGGCTGCTGTCCATTTAGCGATTGGTATTGTAGCGATCGTATTCCGACGTTTACGACTTTTAGTCAACGGCCCGCAGCTTAATACACGGGATGGAAATAGAGAATCTTGCTAACGGTCCCGAATAGGAATTTTGCCTCTCGCTATTACGCGCACTTCCGAGTTACGCGAGTTAACGGAGCGTCGCACCAACCGCATGCTTTTCCGTGCAACGAAATTATTAATTTTAAAGTCCAAATAAAAGTACGTAAAGTCGAGAACGAAAAGTAACGGAAGTGGTCTTAGTCATCGTTACGGAATTTCTTTGATATTCAGAGATTTATTTATCATCCTGACGCACGTGCTTAAAGCGCGCGCTATTGATCCACGAAAGTCACTCGTCAAAATAACGCCTTCGCATTAGCCAAGTCAGCTTAACGCGTCACGTAATAACGCGCGCGGTTTCGGTATCCGATATTTATTGCTTTCACCGTGAGAGATTAAGTAATTCCGCATCTCAGGAGCGCCTACTAGAAAGTGCACGCCGTAACTGAAGCGAGTAAGCGGACGACGTCGCGTTCCTCCATTGAAAAATACACGCGTTATCCTTTCTCTATTTTTTGTCAAATTTTGTAAAGCGTTCTCTCTTCGTGTAATCGCGCGACGATATGTCGGAGCAACGATAGCCACCGGTTTCGTGTGCGATAATAATAATAATAATAATAATAGCGCTGGATACTCGATGGCATTTCTACACACAGCCGTTGTTGATCTAACAAAAACAGCTGTGAAAAGAGCGCAACGGTAAACGGACCGTTGGATTCTTTTCCCCGAAGGTTAATAATTGTATTGTAAGGATCTCGGAAACGCGACATCCGCGACGGTTCGTCACGACGAACGTCGTGATATCCGAGACAGACAACCGCAGAAATTACCCATCGGATAATGACCGTCTAATTCCTAAACGGACGTACGATACCGTAATTATGATCATCGCGTTGTACACGAGGCGACTCTGTTTGTACACCGCGATTTACGACATGTTTCCTCCAGATTTCACGATACGCGCGGTAATCTCAAAGAAGACACCTTTTTCGTTAGCGTTCGTTAGCGATAAAAAAACTGTACTATTTCCGGACATCATTTTGATATATATTTTTTTTTTTTATTCTTATGTTACGTTCTAGAAAATATATAAAATTTTTTCATATTTTACATCGATATCGCTTTAATTTGTTTTATATGAATGTATAATAAATTTTGAATTACGTGTGGCTTTCTAAGTAATAATCATCAAGATAGATAGCTTTTGTGGATTTTAAATCCCAAGGTGACACTCCTCGCGAATTCACGGCGATCATGAAAGCCGTTTTTCACATTAATCGATTCGTTTAATCAATCATCTCTGGCTTAAAAATTCGCGCTCGAGGATGCCCGTTGCACTTCGCAGGACGCCGATGCATTAACTCGACGAATCTACAAATGGCGAAAGGAGGGCGAGCGTTCACGGTCGTGACGCAAACGGATCAGCCGGTGCTAATATCGGTAGTGGAACGTGACGATGTCGAGACGAAAAGAAAATGCGAAGGAAAATAAACGAAAAGACCTGGGGGAGGAAGGAAAAGGAACAAGGGGGAAGAGAATAGCGGGCGATGGGCCGGTATCGCCACGGACAATTTACCGCGGCCTATTCCCTGGCTTTAATCGATTCATTCCGTGTGCTACTTTGCGTTACGTTTGTCCACAGATAGTAAATTCAAACCGAGTATGCATTTAGGCGGAATGAAAGACCGCGAATTAATTAGCGGTTTCGCTTTAATCGTAACGCCTACCGACGCGACGACTCGTCGAAGAAGCTATGAGAAAAGAAGCTTCTCGCGCGCTTTCTTCGCGACGCGTGCAATGAAACGAACGTTAAATATGTAAATGTAAAAAAGATATTCTAAACGAGCATGTAGTAATATTTTTTTATTATAATGATCTAATTATGTTTTATTTCGTGAGAGCTCTCTTTCTCGTGAATCAGATTAAGTCTCATTATGCTTTTATAGTTTTATTTACACTTGTTTTTATTATTTTAATTTATTGACAATTATCTTACTTCGAATCTATTAACTCTCAGTTATCGGTAAATTATCCGAGAAAATCGATGTTTTTATTAAATAATGCTCGTGATTTTAATCAGGTGCCCTCGGAACATAAAACCCCCGGGCTATCTCGCATTCTCTTGAATACTCTTGGTTTACTCTTGGTTACTGACTTTATTATCCAGACCTATCTTTTCTTCATCTCGCCGCTTCTCTCTGAACCGCTATGCTCGCGAACGACAAACGGATGGACTTTTCTACAGAGTAAATACTTAGGTATGTGGACATGGGACCCAGGAACGGAAAGAGATGAGAGAGATGAGAGAGATGAGAGAGAGAGAGAGAGAGAGAGAGAGAGAGAGAGAGAGAGAACGAAGAGAGAGAAAAAAAAGAGAGAGAGAAAGAGAGAGAGAGAGAGACCGAAAAGAATCGCAACGTCCGAAAGAAGAATTGTGCAAAGTAAATCTGGCAAAATCTGACTCCAAGGCGAGGTACTCGAGAGAATGCGATCGCGTTTCGGTCAACGACCGCTTTATAAACGAGCGTTTTGTAGCCCGAGCTACAAGTGGTGAATTACGCGGCACGCGATGACATTATTTTCGAAGTCGGGCGGTTTTACGCCTCTCTCTTTGACTCGGTCTCGGAATCGCACGGGTGACGCGGATCGTTTATGGTCGACGGTAGCATTATCATGGCGCGGACCACGGCATATCCCGTTCGGAAATGCCGAGAAAAAGATAAAGAAAGAAGGAGGACGCGGGCGAAATTCGCGAGGATCACAATTAGCGCGTTCACCCGTAACAAGTACCGCGAGAGAGTGCGCTATCGAAACGGGGCATTCGGACACGCTTCTCCGCAAAGCCACGTCTTGTCAGCGTTCTTCCGCGAACCATCGTCGTGGTTTTTCCCTTCATTCATGCTCGACCGAACGCTTTACCGCAGGATGCGGTCGATTCCCGAGACCGAGAAGTACCCGACCCTTTTCTCGTAGGGACACCGCTGGCTAAAAACCGCGCCGATTAGCGGTCGCACTCCTCACGTTCCCGTGCGAGTTAGAACCTTCTTGTTTCTCCAAAATGTATGGGAAAAGAAACTGTACGGAAAAGACTTATTTACAACCGTCGTAAGCCAGATATTTCGAAATCTCAATTTCGACGTATGATAAGATTGGCGTGCCGCCATAATCATTCTTGTCAATATTTGATTTCCCTCCTGAGTGACGAAATCTAAATTCCAAACGGGCAATTATTTATTTCTCTCTTAATCTCTTGAGGACTTTAAGGATCGAGGCAAGATGATAGAGGCAAGACGACAAAGACGAGATATGCCGTAAAGAAGAGCGGGACCAGGCAAAGGCAAAGAGGGCTATCGTCGATGGCGCATAGTCTCACGTTCCAGGAAGTTGGCTGGCGATGGATATCCACACGGATCATCTTGTACTCTATCGATACAGCGTTTGCCTCCGCCTGGCTCTGTGGCCTTTCTTTCGTCTTCTCTCTCAACTGAGAGCGGAGCATTCCGCTTCTTTTTTTTTTTGCATACCTTATTCCTCTCCGTAGTTCGCCTTGTTTCTAACAATTTCCATCACGCGATTGACCGTGTAACTTCCCTCCCGAGATAAATACCAAGTCCCATCCCACGAGATCGAGACTTGTCGCTTTTTGAGATCGTTCATCTTGTACTTGGAACTGTTGTTGATAAGCAGAAAATTTCCGTGACGCAATAGATATCGATGCCTCTTTTTGACGACACGCGCATGAACTTTTTTCGCATAAGCCGACACTTGACAAGACCTTGACTAGACCTTTATGGTATTTATTAATTAGAATCTAGTTAGAAATCTTCGAATCTTTCGTAATTTACATAAGCTTAATTAAGCAAACGTGAAACAAGATCACATAAAGGGAAAGTGTAAATTCGCAGAAGTGAAAAACCACACAATCGTCTCATGACATAGAAATATTATTCTTAATGAGGTACCACGTGCGACCTCGTTTACGACATGATTATTATGAAATAATGATGTACTTATTCGCAATTAGACTTAGATAGATCTATATACCGTCGAATTAAGAAAAAAAATAACATTTTTTTATAAATAGATCAAGTTCTCCGGCGCGTAAACGTCGCTCTTATTTCCCACAGAATTTCTCGTTCCTAAAAAAACATCGAAACTCGAAACGAGTGTTTATTCGTGATTGCGAGAAGGATGCGAACTGGGAAGTTGAGTAAACACGTGTATTCCAGCTATGTCAATCGAAAGAGCACGATGTTACTTTCTAGGAAGACACTTCCTTTAATCATAGAGTTTTGCTCGAAATCGGATCTACTCGGGATTATACTCGGTACCCGGAAGATCATTACTCGTCACGCCCATTCCTCGTAAAATCACGCGATATATTATTACACGCGTTTTTTATTGCCAAAGTGCAAGGCCTGTGTCGACAATTTTGCAGACGGGGGTACGACTGCCGGAGGGAGCGAGCGCGGCGCTCGCAAAACCGACCAAGTATCATTACTACCCGCACAATCAGCATATCTACTTGCTGCCGGAGTGTGCTGTTCAACAGGTGTGCAACGCCGTTTACGTCCGATTAAACTTCACGCAACCACTGTGTGCCTGTCCCGGAAGGTACCGGGACCCTTGCAGCGCATCCTTGGACAGCGACGATCTGCACACGACCGAGCTGGTGACCGATCCGCGAACCAAGGTCAGTGAAGACTCTCCGGTGAGAGAGCCGAGGGAACGTGTCACCATCGCTTTGTACTTCGAAAGTCTATTTCTATAATAGTCACTATCCTTTTGGCTCGACCGCTTTTATCGATTGTCAAGAAAAATCCGAAGATATCCATGCGCGATTTGACGAAATGATTCTCAGATATTTTGAACAGCTTCTCTATCGTAAGAAACAAGAGGGAAAAAAAAAAAAAAAAATCACGTGGGAACGGCTCGCGTTACTCATTTATGTTGAAACTACGCGAATCATAGATAAAAAACGAATGTGTGTACGATCAACGAGTTTCCGTTCAGAAAACTACAAAACTAAAAGTTGCCGTTCCTCCAACGCGACGTTTTATTTTAACGTTTAAAACGTTGAGCTATTACGGAAACGGTACCGAGGCATGGCGCCATTCCCGGCATGACCGACCGGCTCTCTCGGAGAAGCTCGGACGTTCTTAAGGCGAGTTTCCTGTCGTGAGAAAAACTCGTTCACTTTCGTTCGGTGTATCAACCGTGACTTGCACACTGATGAATCCCTGCTCGAAAAGATGATTTTAGGAGCGGGCTTAAATAAATTCGTCGCGATCATTCCGCACTTCTAAGCTTAACGCTCTCGCGTAAACCGCTTTCGGTACGTAATTCCAATCTCGTTCGTCATTTTCTCGCGGCTTTATTATTATAACGTACCGTAAAGCATAGCATATAGCCGTGCGATAATACGGCTTTGAATATATATCCTAAAGGGATATTTTCGAACCGTGCGATATTCGGAAGAGATAATCAATATAATCAATGATCCCTCAGACGAGCTAATCGCACATCACTCAAGTGACTTGATAACGCTTCATCTTAAGCTATTATCTTTAAAATTGCTCCGTTCTAACACAACGTGACACATATCCCGGCTAACGGGATTACGTAACGCACGGTTTATTTAATCGGGAAAGAAGAAATCTGTAAAAAAAAAAAAAAGAAAGAAAAAGAAAAATACGACATCACTCATTGTGGCCACGCTCGTTCCAGGCCTTGACCCTGGTGAAAACGTGCGAGCCGGTCGCTGAAATGCGAGAGTGCAGAGCATCGCGGGATTGGTCCCTGTTGGCACTGCAGAACGTGCGTACGGGAAAGTCTCACTATCTCGTGATATGCCGATGTCCCGACACAAACATACTCGGTGAGCAAAAAAACACCAAAATTTTTAATTTCGTTCGATCCGATTTCTAACACTTAAATTCAGCTCTTGAATTTGTCAGTTTAATGGACGTGACGAGACGGAATCATAAAACTTTTTTTTTTTTTCGCAGAGGGTCCTATGAGTCACGATCAACCAACTTATGCCAGCGTTCCGGGCATTCGAGTATACGGAATGATGTGCGTGCAAGGAAACAGAAGGGGACGACCGCTACGATATTCGCGCAGTGTTTCAGGCACGCATCCTAAATATTATCATATATCTTGTTACTTTTTTTTTTTCTTATTTCCGATTTATCAAATGCGAATTTTGTGATTGACATGTGATTTTGTGTATTAAACAGGATATGCAGAGGACGAGGAGAAGCCACGTTTCCCTTGGCACAAAGTGCGGCAGCTGATGACGACGCCGTCTCTTTGGGAATAGTTTCGCGTCGCGATGTCCCACTCCACATCTGCCATCGACGAATTTACACGTTAATTTATAATACTATTATATTTATAATTCTCTCTTCTCTCCCAGCCATTCGAATCCTACAATCGAACTCTCTTCATTTTCCCATCATTTCCCTCTTATCACTCCCACGCTTTCTTAACCCTCGAATGGGCGGACTATAATATCGTCCATAATTTTATATCGATGAATTACTTTTGCGCTATCAGGCACGATAACTATTGACTATAAAAAATAAAATAAGAAAGAAAGAAAGTAGGAAAGAACTTTTAAAAACTATGCAAATGTAAAAAGTGTCCATACGAGGGTTGATAGATAGGACAAAATCGCCTATGTGACTTATTTTCATCTTTACTTGATTATTCGTTTTAACTATATTTATTAATCATGGTTTTTATGTTATATTAATTGAGTAATGTAATTTGAGTTAATTAATTAATTACATGCGGCATATAATTCGACAAATATGAATTATGATGAGGAAAACGGATGGTTTTGCCGCCCATAACAATATAAAGAGCTATCTGATCGTGCGAATTTAAAGAGATAAAAAAAGATAGGAATATATATAGTACCTGAATTTTGAGACAAAATTTTAAAATTTATATTTTTTTTTCTTTCATTATCAAGTAAAATATTCAGTAAAATATGCTACTATATATTCCGAAGGTATTTGTTCATTGTCAGCTTAGTCGACTCGCGATGTTAATAAAGCGATTCGGGAAGGCATTCGAGAGGCATTGATGTAGATACTTTGAGTCATGCATCTACGATTACGTGACTTAAGGAAAGCTCAGAGATGCACGCGCTTGATTGTATTTAACTGCTATACGAGAGACATAATATTATCTATAATTACTCACCAAGAACATCAGAGTTGACTAAAACACTACAGCTGTACATTGCCGTCATCAATCGGGGGTGTCGTAGGCTGATGATCCGTCGACAAGCTTCTTTACACGCCGACATTAATTGACCGCCCAAGTGTCCCTGGCTTTGGCCACCAGAATCGCTGCAACAATTCCATACACATACATTTTATACTACACATTTTTAATGCATATATTTGGCATTTATTAAATTTTCAAACAGTATATAACCCGAACAAATATAATTTAATTCCGCTCAATATAAGAAGTCGGTACTGACATGACTAAAATATATTTTTAAAAAGAAGCCAATTACAATGCACATATATTTTTTATAAAAATAATCATTAGTCATGATTTTTATGTCAATTATTATTAACGCAAATATTTATTAATGTATTTACCTTTGTGAAGTATCAAAGATTTCCCATTTCTTTAACACAAAACAAACGCCCATCATAGGCTCCTCACACAAGGGACCGGCTAGAGTAGCGAGTTGAAATCCGTTGACTATGCTGTTATCATATCTGAAGAATTATATTAACATATTATTACCATTCGAAATAAGTTTCATGGATGTAGTCAAAGTATATATGTTTCATTTATATTTATTTCTTGCATTACATATTGCACTATTTATTATTGCGTTAAGATTATATTAATTTATGTTCATTGCATAAAATATAAATATCTGAAATGCTCGTCTATTTCAAACGGGATATGTACAATAAAAAGCTTTTGCGTCAATATCTTTTTGAACGATACTTACACTGCTCGAGGATCGATATTTGTATTGTCTTCCTGCTCCCAGAACTTCTTTTGTTTATAATCAGTCTCATTCAATAAGATATTAGGTCCGCATTTTCGTGGGCCAAATGACCATATTTTATCTAGTACATTATCCTTCCATCCCGCCTCGCGAAAAGCCGTTTCCAAGTCATTCTTGAATATCTTTGCTTCCTTCTGTTTTTTATCAGACATGGATCTTTCGTTGAGTTGATTTTCGTCAGAAATAATTTCGTGTTCTCCATTCTCCTCTGTATATATATCGCAGTAGTTGTCCAATTTTATCAGAGTTGCATTTTTCTCTAATAATTTTGTTATGTTTTCCGGAAGAGATTTCGCATCTATTTCAAAACGACATTGCCGATTCGACGTCCAAATTTCAAGGCTAACTTCCGTTGCTTTTTTCTCGATCGCTTCATTCACCATATCAAGTTTTGGAGGTGGCACTATAGTCTCGCGAAATGGCACGATTGGGTCAGATACATTAATATCGATCTTGGCGTATCTCAGTTTCAGATCTTCCAAGCATCTCTCCAGATGAACCTCACCGGCTGTGCTCAGAACGATCTCACCGGTTTCTTGTATATGAACGATGGCACAGGCATCCGCCTGGTTCAATAATTTCAAACCGCTGATAAGTTTTGGCAAGTCGTTGGGATGTTTCGGTTCTAGAGCAACTCTTAAGATGGGAACCGCGAGGGAAGTTAACTCCGTGAACGAGGGACAAGCAATTGTCGTCGAGAGAGTCGCGGTCTTCAATACATGTTCTTCCAAGCCACCGATTCCAAAAACATTTCCCGCCGGTACATGATTCACAACTTCAAGCTCTCTTCCCATAAGAATGTACAATTTATTTACGGTCACCTTTGTGATATGTCTGCCAGGTTTTAAATCCTTTAGCACGAAAGTCGAGTCCACCTCCTCGCCCGCTTTCTCACATTCCAAGGCAACCGTAGGATTATGCTTCGGTCCTAAAACAAATACCTCGTCTCCAATTCTTATAGTTCCAGAATACACTCTCGCGAAAGCTATTAATGCACCATCTGATTTTTCTTCGACGACATCCTCGTGTTTTACGTTCTGAACGTTATCAGAAACTATCGTATCACGCGTACTTTCCTCGTGATTCTCAATAATAGTAGTAATTTTTTGCTCCAGTCGCTCTGCATGCTTCTGCCGAACAATTTCTCTTCTTTGTGCCAATTCTTCTGGTGTTAGAGACTTTGGTCTGTTCTCGGGCAACATATCTTTTTCTACTGGAAACATTTTTGATATAAATATAATAATTGGTGCTTCCGGCGATGGATCGCATAATAAGAACGCTTTTTTCAATCGCTGCGTTTCAACGGGTAAAGCAGAAAAGTCGTTGTTCCCGCTTATCAATCGCTCAATTTTCTCGTCAGTTAAATTATGAGGTGCTGGAACCTTTTCACATACCATGTCGAGACATGTTTGGGCCAAGGGAAGCCATTGCGAGCAAATGGCTTGCAACTGTGCTTTCGGATCCGTGTGTCTCAAATCGCGCGTTGTCAATTTAATATTTAACTTTTCTGCCATAATCGGCAACTTATCTTTGTCTTTTCGTACCACTATGGTCTCATATAACACCCAGATATTCTCCAAAATCAATTGTACGAAAAGTGGTTTCTTAGCCTTTTCCTGAGCACCTTTCATGATTCTCTTTGTTTTGTTGTTTATGTAAAAATCTCCCCATAATGTTTTACGTAAGACCTTTTCACTGAATCCCAATTTGTTTGAATAAATTTTAGCAAATTCTTTGATACCAAATCCCCAACCATCAATTGCACTAGTAAAAAGAACATTTCCTTGTTCCGGGGAAAAATATAAATTTGAGTCGTCTATTTCTTCTAATACAGATTGCCAATCAGCCAAATCTCTCTCGTTCACTTTGTCCGATAGATTGCGATGATTTGCGACTATTTCCTCGCGTTCTTCACGTTCCATTACGTCGCTGGCAAATAACTCACCCATAATCGCGTTTACCTGTTCCAAGACTTGTGTCAAACGTATATAAGCATCTAATGGTGTTAATTTCATTTCCGTAATTAACCTATCGACTTTATTAAGTACTAAAATAGGTTTCAAACCCTCAACATACGACATAGAGAGGGCACTGCGTGTCTGAGGACATACGCCTTCCACCACATCGACTAGGATAATAGCTCCGTCTGATAATCGTACTGCTGTTGAGACTTCAGAGGAGAAGTCCACGTGCCCTGGAGAATCAATCAAGTTTATCACATGGTCTGTTTTATTGTATACATGATGCAGCGTTATGGAACTGGACTTCATTGTAATCCCGCGTATCTGTTCGTCCGGCCTACTATCCAAATAGCGAAGTTTTCCAGCCAGTTTGTTGGATATGATGCCGTTGCTCGCAATAAGAGAATCCGCCAGTGTGGTTTTTCCATGATCCACATGTGCTAGAATACATATGTTCCTGATACGCGTGGCGTCGTTTTGAATCTCGCCAAGTTTCTCCACACTGATGAAACGCATTGTTACTTAGATGGGGATAACAGAGAAAGAATGTGAAATGCTCTCAATGTATGAATATGTACAAATATACATATGCGCTCCTATGTATCGTGTGCTCTATAATATCGGCAATTGCGAAAATAGAGTAAATGAATAAACGAGTAAAACGAGTAATGCAGCGGCACGTACAATATATATATATATATAATATATATATATATATATATATACATATAATTCGATCTAGACTATAATCTATAAAAACAATACTTAAGTTAATCGGACTGATGGTGTTCGCGCGCACGTGTGCAGCCTGCGAATGGTAAACACTATTTCAGTTTATTCTGTCTCCAACAAAACGCGTAAGGTTCGTTGAACGCGAGGATGTAACGCAGGTTGAACGGCCTCGCTGTCGTGCGGAACATGCCAGCGGACATCGGTTATCGGCTCGGCGGAACAAGTCACACGCACACACACGAGTGAACGACGTGCGTACGGGCACGAGTATGGAGCTCTCCTCTTCGTCGACGTGTTATGCGTGGAAACGCTCGACCACGCAGCGGCAGTCGCGAGACGGAAAGACGGGATACTGCGATTGACACTTGCCGTCTTGCCACTTTAGGAGAGGTTAGGTGCGTCAAACGTGGACTCGTCACACACGGCTTTTCTCTTCCTCACGCTTCGCGTGCACGCGCAATCGACTCCTCACCAAGTATCTTCTTGCCAAGATTCGGCTTGATCCCTTGCGATTTTGAATTTCGATCGACGCTTGGCTCCTGACTCGTATCTCACGAAGTATCACGAGTATCCTTAAACGCGAAACGCGCGAGCGCAGACGGCCATATTCCCTGACGCGTAAAGTAGAAAGAGAAATGCGTGATTCGACTTGCGCGTGCGAGAAAAAAATATCTCTTCCTCTCGGACGGGTGATTTTGACCGAACTCTGATTTATGATTTATCAAATAGTATTAAATTATATTATTTTATCACTACAACATTATTTTATTAATACAAGTAGTGCATTGTTAAAGTTAGTTATTTAAATTAATGAATTATATTATTCGCAATTTTGCTTTGAAATGAGTCTGCCGTTTGAATCGATTAATTAAGTTAATCAGAGTTCAGTACAAATCGTTCTAAGGTCAAAATGAAGCAATATTTGTTAAAAATTGCATCATTCTTCGAGATAAATCATCAATAAAAACGAATCGTGCGCCTTTTGATTGTTGATTCGAGTCAATCGGTCACGATCAATTGCTCGTGATCTAATTCTTCTTGACGAATTTAAGTGTTTAAAATATAATTTTTTTACATACTTGCGATTTTCCACGTATGTCCCACATTAAAATAAAACATAAGTTTCGAATCGGGTAGGGGCGATAGAGAGAAAATCGAAACAATGGAAATAGAAAACGCGGTAAAAAGAACAGACCTACTGGAATTGAACCGTGAACGAATGGGACCAATTTTTTTTACAGATGAGTAATCACATGATAATATAGGAGGAAGAGAAAGCGGATAATATCAAAGTTCAAATTTAATTTTAAATTTAATTTAAAATTTAAGTTAATTAATTCGTTTTAATTATCTGCTACCTGTCGTTGGAGAATCTCTTGAAATAAATCCGAAAAGATAGGTATGCTTTTAAATATACTCAATCATCTAGTGTTATTATAATAATCCAGAAAAATTAGGAGAGGGATTTGACATTTGAAGCCGCATAACGAATGATTTTTGTTCGATAATTTTTGTTCATATCTCTACAATGTTTCTGCAACATTACAATATCGCAACATGTAAAAGTGCTAAAGAAAATTTCGATACTTAAATCGCGTTTTTTGTATACATACACAAATTCACGGCGCGTATCATGTTAATGTTAATTGAAAATATGCTGGTTACGTATAATTATTTTATTGTCGCAATCACCATAAATACGTAGATATAATGTACAAAATCTATCGACATGGTCTTTCAAAGAGAGGGGCGATTTAATGTAAGAATATTGTTTCTTTATTTTTAATTAGCCTTATATAAAAAAAACAGATATTTTTGCTTACATGTTATGTAACAAATTTGCCAAAACTTAATATTAAATGATCAACGTTGTTGTGCTTATAATTGAAACAATATAAATAAAGATGATTTCAATAGGCTATTATTCTTTATACTTTTCTCCTAGAATAATGGATTTGCCATAACAATAGGGAACAATTTGCATTTCTTTAAAAGATAGATAATTCAGACATGAAAATATCTAACTAAATACTTAACTAAACACAAAGAGCAACACTCAAGAATGATTGAAACAATGCGTTGTGTTGTATATTAACAGGGAACGTCGTTGAAAAACTGTGCGAACTCAACTAGAGAGAACATCTCGTTGCGAAGTGCTTCGCACATCTGTCGATTTCTTCATCCTCTTGCGAAGAGCTCGTCTTCTTATATTAAGCATCGTCTTCGCCACTAACCACACTGCTCCTGTTTCACAAGTATACCGCAACGCATTCACAACGCCGATGATCAGGGAATGTGGTGGATATCCGGTCGTGCGTGATTCAATGCCGACCGTCCTCAACGAAGCCTCGACAAACTTTTCCGGAGTAGGCGCCATCCATGTTGGTCTCCTAAGAAAAAAAAAGGCAGAAATAGCATAGTTGGATCGTGAGAATTGATCGAATTCGTATAATGATAGGTATCAAAAACACTTTATATTCCAACCATTCAGAAGTTTAAAATTTTAAAAATATTTTACAAATTCTTCGAATTGTAGGATTGTGTAAATTTGTAACGAGTTACGTTACAAGGAAGAGACGACAATTCTCACTTGATCTTGGACATCTTCGTGGCGACTGGTCCAGGCAGAATGCATTGGACTGTAACACCTCTCAGAGCCGCTTCCGTAGCTAGGTCGGCGCTGAGTTTGTCGATGTATGCTTTACTAGCGGCATAAACAGACAGATAAGGACTCGGTATAGCTGCGGCCGTCGAACTCACGTTAATGAGCACCCCTTTTCCTCGTTCCATCATGCTGGGCAGCACCGCCCTCGCGACCCCAGTCACTCCGGCTACATTCAATTGCAGTATTCTCGCGAGGACTTCCTCCGATACGTTCGTGAACAATTCGGGAAGATCATAGCTTGCGCCGGCGTTGTTAATAAGGACACCAACCTATTGGGAAACGTTTTTTAGTTATTTTCTTTCGCTCTACCTGTACCTATTTCTCCTTCTCTCGATAAAAAAAGTATCTTTTAAGACATCGTTTAGAAGAAACTTTCTCTCTTTTTACTCTTCTTTCTTAGAAAAAGGCCATCTCCTCTTTTTCATCCTAGATTTTCTGAAGAAATAGTCTAGTCTATTCGTTCGAGATTCACAAGTAAAGACATTAAATATTCATTACCTCTAGATCTTGCGTTGCTTTTCCAATCTCAGCGTAAACTGCTTGACCCTCGGTTAAATCAGCTTCTACGACGCGAGTCTCCACACCGTATTTCCGTTCGATCTCAGCAGCTACCTCTTTCAATTTAGACATGGAGCGCGAGATCAAAACAATATCCATGCCCTTCTTGGCGAGCGCCTTGGCGAACGCTTTACCAAGGCCATCAGTTGCACCGGTCACCACTGCCCATTTCCCTTGCGTTCGTAAATCAATTCCAAATCCAAGACTCGGGGCGACTAACTTTTTCCACGCTAGAATCCCGAACTTTATGAAGATCCTCAAACTGACCAGCGCTATTATCACTAGAAATATCTTGTCCCAGTAGATTAGCGCCATTCTATAATGCAAACAACAACATGCGTGTATCACGTGAAGAAATTAAATTAATTAATTTTGTTTACATTTATTTAATTTAATCGGCTTAACAATCAAATGCGATATGTTTAATAATTTGTTTCTCTTGATGTATCAAAATCATCATATACAATTCCTTCTCCAATAAGAAGTTGTGACAGAAGAAATATGAAATTACGTACAATTTAATGGAGTATTAATTATTTGTTGTTATCATTGGTCAACAAGTTTGCTAGGTCAACAAGTTTGCTCATTGCCGGTTTGATTTTCGAAAGTCATGACTTCGCGTCATATCAGTCGATACAGCCGACAATATCATCGATCGTATTGGCGATTTCATCGTTATTTTTTTCTTTTTTTTCCATTCTTTCGTTTTCATTATTTTGCTTTGTCATAGAAAAAAATTACTAATGCAAACTACTCGCATCTGTATCTACGATTAGAATGAATTTTCAGTATGCATTATTTCATATTATTCTAAAAAAATGTCTATGCGCATATTAATCTTTGACTGTTTTTCTGTTTACATTTCATTATCTTATGTAATCTATTTCCTGTCTGACGATAGACGAATACACTTATGTAAGAAATTTTCCGTGATTTCTTGAACAATTTATAATTGAAGAAATACACTGATCGCACAATTCTTCTATGTGCATTCGTATAAAATAAACATTCATTATTTCTCCCTTTTCTCTTGTTAGACATTTATTTTTTCGTTCTATACTTCTTTTTATATATTTATTTAAAATTCTTTCTTTTTATATATTTATTTTCTTTTTATATATTTATTTCTTTTTATTTCTTTTTATATATTTATTTAAAATAATATTTATTTACGCAGATGGCTTGTACATTATCTTATATTATTATATCTACATCAAGTCATTTGGATGGAAGTGATAAGTGCAAAAATAGAACGCACCGAGTTTCGTTACCATATAATATAAAAATTTACATACAATTTACATACAATTTATCCGTCTATTGTATTGGAAATCCGTTGCATGATTGGTTCTCACAAAAAATAAAACAAAGTCTTTGTTGATAAAAATTTCTTATCATCATGACACGATAATATTATCTAATGTTAACAAAATAATGTTTTGACTAAATGTTTTGAAAGGAAATATCTGATATACATGCAAATGCGTTTCTAATATATATGTCAATGTAAATTAACTTTAATTTCGATTTAATTGACTTTTTTTTAAGAATTTTAGAAAAAAAATAAAGAATAAATTAAATAGTAAATAGTAAAATAGTAATTAATTCAATGGGCAATTCCTGGCCATAAACTCCATAGAATTTCATCGATGTTAGCTTTCTCCAACGTGTTTTATACTCCAATGCGTGAAGCGATCGCGCCACGACACTTTCTCACTTTCTCACCTGTACTCGACCTTTACTGACTAATCGACTCTTCTTCCGGTTCTCTCGGTTGTCCGACGTTGTCCCATGAACTTGATTTTGATCCGCGACGATGTTACGCTCGCAATCTCGTCGCGGAAATTAAACAATCAATGTGCTCGTTGAGACTGCTCGATATTTCACGTTAAATTGCAATATCTCAGGTGTGTGAAGCGAGTGAAGGACAAGGTCGATGAACACGACGGGCGGCGAGCCCGTAAAATCGGATCGGTATTAAAAAGCTAAATTATTAGGATCAAATTACTAAACTTACGTCTTGATTTCGGGCTACTTCCCCTGTCGACTGCCGGCATTAGACTGCGTCTTGCGAAAGCGGTCGCGATCGATGTTTAACGTCGGAATCAGGGGGATATCAGCGATGCGCGCGCGCGCGCGTACGCACGCAATGTCAGGGCTGCTAGAGCGTGTTCCTGCTGGTTTGACAAAACGACCCATCCCCGCGACGAGGACATAGCGGTACCTTCGTCCACGTGGCAGGGCAAAAGATTCGCTGTAAGAATGAAAATAGCGGTGGGGAGATTCCTGCGATGAAGAGAGAAGACGATTCTTTCTTTGACACACTTCGCGGCGGCTTAACTCTCTCGGCCTCCTTTTGTAAACTTTGTACTTGATTTCTTCGATCGCCCGTGCGATCGAATATCGATATATCGACTTTGATACATTCGCGTTTTTATAGGTGCAGGTAATATTTAAGAAAATAGCTGGGCATAGCATGCTGTTGATAAGTCAACTCAATTTTTCAAGTTGTGTTTCATATATATCCTGAGAAAAGTGATCTATTCCTGAAAAAAATAATCGGTCAAAATTTGCCTACTAATTTTGTTTACAGTAAATTTTTAGTCTTTGAATTTTTTTTTATAGTTTTCAAATAATCGACACTTCAAATTTCTATATTATATTAGCTTAAGAATACCCGTAAAGAATACTGCGAATCATACGATGTTAAATAATTCTTATTGCAGCACTTCCAAAGCGTAAAAATTTAACACCAGCGAATAGAACTTGCGCATCTAAATGAGAATAGTAATTGCTATAACTAGTTTCATTTTTCATTTCTCCTCTTTTTTAAATAAAGAAGTACAAGTAATCGTCGGTTAGGAAATCTTGATCATGACGAATTAAAATGACATATAAAGTTTAATCTTAATTCAACATGAGTAATATAAAAAAAAATTAATACATTGCGATCTCATTTTACTTGCAAATACCACCTTCGTGCGCAAAAGCAAAAAATGAAAAAAAATGAAAAAAATGAAAAAAATTGAAAAAAAATAGATAAATAAAACATGAATGTAACAATGAGTTTAGTTAAACTCATTATTTGTTTTTTTTTTATGTATGTACGCTTCTAAAATACTTATCTCGAAATGTGGAACTATTCGTGACGCTGAGGACGCGCTTGAAAACGAGATGATACTGTTCACAATTTATTTTTTTCTTTGTACAAAAAGTGTATGTTACATATATTCATACATATATTCATATGTGTTTGTTAGATATAACCTTGCACAATCATATGCAGATCACGAAATCATAAATACATATGTTCATGGGCATATCTAGGATTTTTTTTGGGTGGGGAGGAGGAGGCTTATCAATTTATTAATATATAAACAGCAATCTTTTGTGTTAATAAATTGCTCTTTTGAATATTTTAGAGCTTAGAATATTTCCCCGTTCTTTTTTTAAAGTAACAAAAATAGATTAGATTTTGTCATAACTTTTATATTTTTTCCTGAAAAAAGTATAGGCAAAATACAGTTATTAAAAATGAAATATAGATTTGTAATATTGCTATTGTTATTATTATATACAAAGTATGATTACTTTCCTAAGGAATTTAAAAAAAATTCAAAAAAGAACAAAGAGAGAGCTCCTATATAAAAAATATTGCTAAATATTATTAAAAAAACTACATAATTAAAAACTGATAAATTAAAGTAAAATAAAAGGAAAAAGAAGAATGATGAAAAAAGATTATTTAACAAAATCATTCAAAATTTACAAAAAAAATATGATTTTTTTTCAAAATGATTTAACACAGGATTTACAATGTCTCTGTGAATTGACATGAGCCCATGTAATTTAAACGATCTTCTGTCACTGAGTTACGTAAATTATTTTTTAATCGCCTTAAGAGTCAGCAGGAGAGACTATGGAGACCTCTATCGGAGATAAATTCCTTTTCACCCATATTATGGCCAAAATATTGCGAGAAAAGCTATATAATTATGATATTTATAATCAGAATATTTTCAGATTATTTTGACGAAAGCTACAGAACGATTTTTGTAAGAAAATGTATGAAAATAAATAATTCATTTATGCGTAAATAGATTTGCACTAAGACAATAAGGTGCAAATATTTTCATCTATTATAAATTTTTTTAAGAGCCAAATTGCAAAATCCGGCTCTGTAGCAAGAGTCATAATTTTATTAAAAAATATGTAGAAAAAGACTCATGGCAGAATATTGCTTCTACGAGATGATATATACGAGATGGTATACTCAAATATATATCTAAACTGTAAATAAGGAGTAGTTACATTTATTTTAATTATTTAAGAGCTAAATTGCAAAATTGGCTCTGTAAGTAGCTTTGTAATTGTAAAAGAAATTATCTTAAAATTTCATGACGAAACATCGTTTCTATAAAACAAAATATAATTGAGTACAGATACATATCTGCACTGTAAATAAAGAATGGATAATCATTTTAGATCATTTTAGATAGAAATTAGCCCGTCACTCCTACCGACCCTTAAGGATGAAACAGCCTTTTTGGAAATAGCAATAAGATAGTAATAATAGTGTTAATATTTTATATAATTTCGAAATATGAAATTTCAAGAGAGAGGGGGAGGTTCAATTCTCCTCTAGATATACCCATGCATACATTTATCATACGTATCAGGAGATGGACGTTATATAATAGCGAAATTTTCGAATGAAAACATTTAGTCTATGTATTTTATACATAGATCATACAGGAATATAATCAAGAAATGCGAAATCTAAATATACATGTATTCACCCTTCATTTCTCTTTGGCGGTATTCGATCTATTTTTAAGGATTCCATACAATAAAATTATATGACACATATGCAATGCTGCGCTACTGAACACCGTGCTCGGATACGTGTTCCAGCACAATTCTATCACACCTAGGATGGTCAATTTAAGGACAGTCTTATAGTCAGTACACCACGCGATATACGGTAACGTGTGGTAGTACCATATATAGAATTGATAATGCAACGATCTGCTGAACATAATACCGATGAAATTCGCGACGAAGAAGGGACAAACAAATAACTGACTTACTGTAGACATGTCCACCTTCTCTTTTTTACGAAGCTGAGACTTCAATTCCTTTCCCACATGTTTCAATCTTGCGTATGATTTCATGTAAGTGATCCAAACAGGCGTGCAGTATAGCAATGTTAGTACATGTAGAAATAACAAAGACATATGCAGGTATGGATGAACAAATATCTCTTCGGGTAAGAATCTCCAATTTACAGTCCATTTAAACTCGAAGACTCTACCCAAATTAAAAGCACCCATTATATAAGCCATTGAATTCTCCAGCAAAAATGGAAGACCAAGAATCAGCTGGATTAATGCACAAATAGATAAATGCATCAATGTCTTGAGTGTTCCTAGCGTGCACAAGTAAGCAATGAGAAGTGCTGGAGCAAATAGCAGGATATTCATTTTGATGGATACAGCAAGACTGTATAGCACGCTACCTAAGAACCAGCGGTTGTCCAGAAATGCGTTAATGGATGCATACAGTAGCACCATCGCTACTGGATCATTGAAGAGTCTTAAAACGAATACCGAGTGTATTCTATAAGAGGTACAACACATCAAGATGAGAACGTAAGGAGGTACTTTTTTGGTCCGCGCGTAAATCCGGAAGATCAATGTCAACGTGACCACATACAATATTGCAAAGAGATATTGCGCTATCCTTATATTAGCACCATGCGAAGTTATATAGTAAAGGCCGGAGAAGACATAGACAAATCCGGCAGGATAGACCAGCGGTCCGGTGTCACCTCGTAGTTTCGAATAGTCTACCGTACCGTTTAGGAATCCCTCAACTTCTTGCATATAGGCCCTCCAATCAATTTCTGTATATGATACTGCTTGAATGATCACCACGTTCACGACAATTTCCAGAACAATGAACAATTTCGCCGTGAATGACAACTTTTTCGGATCAGTCAAAAAAGCGGTAAGTTGCCGCCATTGCAAATAATTGTCCAGCCAACCCTTGTTACTCCTCCTCGAGGATCTACCGGGATTGAGGTTAGGTCTCGCCTCCCTGCGTGGCGCCATATTGTCTGGAACACGAATATACCTGTTTTCTATCGTTTATTCTATTTTCGATTATGCATGCAAACAAATTCGAGCACACGAGACTAAGTCCTTAGTAGCGGATATTACCTGATGACTTTTCTGCAATACTCCGAGAGGTTATCCGGACTCGCGATCAGTTCATCTGGCGTGATAATGAATAACTCGCTCGCCGGAGCGATAATCCACCGTCACATTCCGTCACCCGATCTCCCGTGGGAACTACAAAAAAGATATCTATCTTTCGCTTCTTATGTACCGAACGACAAATCTGTTTTTCCTTGGCACGGATATCTACGGAGTCGTTTTGGAGTAAACATGGCGCTCACAAGATAAACAGAGCCGTTGTACCGTGACATTACCTGTAAATGAATTTCTAGTATTCATCCCGGTTCATCCTTTTTCCTTTTCTTTCCAGGGTCTGGTTATATGCTCGTTTCACTTGAAGTGCGGAAGGTGTGGAACAAAGCAGGTACGGAAAACGGATCTTTTCACAGCGCAAGGACGACCAATCGCGTGGCGTGCGTGACGCGTCATGATGTCACGACCAATCGGTATGCGCCAGCTGGGACTTGAGATTTTTGACAGAATCCAACGTGTCGCGTCGCGGAGCGCGGATAGAACGGGAGTGAACAACGGTGGACGTATCGTGAGATATTCGTTGAGAGTGTGGATGAATTAAAGTCACGTTCGTTACTTAGCTACCGAACGACGGAGATCTCGCATTAGAGATACGCCGATTTTTAATTTAATCTCAGCAATACGTGAACTCGCGTCTCGCGCACGCACCAAGTAACCTAATCCTTCGAAGGTACGTGTCAACATTCGATACGTTTGCCGTTTTTTTTGTCAACGATCTCGCAATTTTCTTTGTTGGCATTTTGGCGATTAGAATCCGCAAAATTACACGTAGGTATCTCAAAGTTGTAGTAAATCTAGAATGTTTCCTGTCGCGTTTTTCGGAACGATTGGAGCAATAGAGACGTCACGATTTCGTTGAATTACAGTCTTCGATCAAACAAAAAAATCTCTAGTGATTCTTTCTTTACTTTTTGCACGGGATAAATATGCTTAATATATTGTTAAAATATATTTGATTTGCATGATCATATAATGACTGAATACACTTGTACAAACATTTATTTACATGTACATTTTGATGATTTATAATATTGTTTTTAACAGAACAATAAAAAGATGAATATGTCGATGTCGCTAGTATTTTCCGTGTTTCTTGGAATTGTGTGCGCCGTTACAGCGCTGAAGGAAGGTGAATGCGAAGGTACAGGATCTTTTGTAATTCATCTTTATATATTTAAATTTGCATTATTAATTTGCATTTATATTTAAATTTGCATAAATCTTCACGACATGCTTTATTCATAATTTTACAGTGTGTGTCGCCGTTGTGGACAAATTTAGTCAATCATTAACGACAGACATTAAAAGTGACCCCAAAAAGATTGAAGCAAAGTTTCGAGAATTCTGTAAAGGCACTAAATCAAAAGAAAATAGATTTGTAAGTACAAATTTGCAAACAAAATAAATACAGATAACAATATTTTTTTAGTCAATATAAAATAGCTGCAATTGTTGTATATAATTTCAGTGCTATTATCTGGGTGGTTTGGAAGAATCTGCCACTGGTATCTTAGGTGAACTCAGTAAACCATTATCATGGTCTATGCCTGCGGACAAGATATGTGAGAAATTAAAGAAGAAAGATGCTCAAATATGTGATTTGAGATTTGGTATGTTTATTTGTTCTCATAATTCTTATTATAAATGCAACATTGATCATTCTATGCAACATTAATATTTTTGCTTTAGAGAAACAAATCGATCTCAATACAGTAAATCTAAAGAAATTAAAGGTACGTGACTTGAAGAAGATCTTGAATGACTGGGAAGAAACATGTGATGGATGTATAGAAAAACGGACTTTATTAAACGAATTGAAGAGCTCAAACCTAAGTATTTCAGTGGTAGCTCGAAACAAGAGCTTTGAAGGACTGTCTTCAATTTAGACAAGCAATTATGTTAGTATGGCTAAAATTTTTGTTTCTTCAATCTATGGAGGAATTGTTTACAGCATTTAGGATGTCTTTATCCGTGTCTATATACGATTCGCATTTAGCTTTGTTCTGAAAAATTTATCTTTAATGACAATTTCTTGAGGTAAAACATTTAGTTTCTATTAAATGGAGTAGAGATTACTATACGCGAGAATTAACATGAAGCAAACAGTAACAAACAATGAAAATTTTGTTACGCAAAATTTTTTTATCTGAATAAGTACATGTACGTTAGTAATCTGATTTCTCTCTGAGGTAGCCATGCTAATAATGGATCTATTTTATCGAAGGTGCTCCATTTTTATGACATCAACATTTAGGTGTAAATTAATATATATATACAGCGTTTCTATACGAGAAATTATTTTCACATGTATTTATCTTCATTGCTCTTCCTCAGGTAGTGTAGTAATACGCAAATACATTTGTACGTTATATCCGAACGATATTTCATACCAAAACGCATTGTACGGTGTTAAATGATATATATAAGAGATACTTTATTCTCAACATTGTTGTATATTATTATGAAATTGGATTTTTTTTTCATTTTTCGTATGCACGAAACAAAAATGTACAATTAAACTTGTGAAGTATCTCTCATGGCCAGTGTCGATGAACTATCTTCAATGTGCAAGTTTAACAATGCCAATTTTTGAGATAAGAATTATTTGTATCGATATACAAGGATTTTTCCAGTAAAATGAAACCAAAAAAAGAAACGAATAAAAGTATGTACTTGAAGTACAATATCCTAAAATTAAAGATTATAAAGAGATAAATTGCGCATAAATAATTGTAGATAAGATATTACCGCATATCGAAATGTATTACTCTGAAAATTCCAAACTGAATTATTTATTTCGTGATAAGACTGCGTAATTACGTTTTCTATATTACATTCGTGAGTCTTGATACGAGAAGTCAGAAAGAAATAAAAAAGCATGTGTGTTGTTACAAAGATGAAGATGTTTTCTGAACCTACGTGAATTGTTACATTAAATTCTTCGTAACGTCGTTTTTGAATTAGGTGCTTTCACCTCCGTTACATTTCGGTGACTCGTTCCACTTTCCATCGGCTTGACATCTAATCATTCCCTGCTTACCGTTAGGGCATATATATGTTAAATGATCTTGAAACAAGTACGAACGGCCATAGAGCGCGATTTCATGCTGAATCTGTGGTTTACCACATGATATTTCTGCAAGTAATCACAATTTAGATAAATTTGAAATTTCCTGAGAATGAGATGAAATTAATATTTTTTTTTTATATACGCACTTGAACATCTGCCATTCAATCTAGACCACTTTCCGCTTCCTAAACATCTTAAGTTTGTTTGTCCAAATACGCGATAACCCGGAATGCATTGGTAAGAGATCATATTGCCGAAAACGTAATTCTGAGTTCCATCGACATCACTTTTTAATATCGCGTTAGCGACAATCGGCGGTTTTCCACAGGTTACAGCTAGAAATATTCAATATTTAGATTTAGATTTTTGAGGGTCTTCGTAAAAGTTTGGAAAGGAGAAACGTACGTTTGCAAGAAGATAAAGCGGACCATCGGGCATCCGATAAACAAACAGCTCGTTCGTCACCCTCGAGAGTGTATCCATGACGGCATCTGAAAGTGATGACAGTACCGATCGCCTTGCGATCGTTAATGTCGTCGGTGTTATTGCTGTTATCAATGTACCCATACTCTGGTATCTGAAATTAATTAGAATTAAATGTGCGACACTTTAAAATATCGTATATTTTTTTTGTATTACTATTTTTAATTGAAAATATCTAATTATTTTATTTAATTAATACTAATATTTTTCTATGGATATTTTCAAAAATCTCACTTGTGGAGGCGCACACGATCTATCACAGATATCTATTGAATTTTTCAGCAGGTGTTCGAGTACAGACTCTTCCAATGATAAATTCGAAATCTCCCATTTTGCAGTCTCATTGCATACCCATGTTATATTTAATAAGATTGTCTCATTAGCGATCAACTCGTGCAAGTTCATCCTTGTGCTATTTCGGCACGTTAGGATTATTTGTTGCCCGTAACTGTTCCCTTCGACGAAAATTTCAAAATCTTTATATGCACGCGTAACGTTTTCCTTGTCATACCATGTTTCGTTAGAGTCAAACGATGGTATATCTGTATTATTTTCCAAGGTAGTTTCGTTCTCCAATCTTTGGAAGAATCTAAAAATCGGATGATTTCCAATGGAACAATTACGCGGCTCGCAAGAAACGAAAGTCGAGGACCATTTCTCTTCCTCGGTACACATTTTAATACTGTTTCCGATTAATTCGTATCCCGGATCGCAGACGATGACGATTGCCGTGCCAGAAACAAAAGTTTCCGGGGAGATCCTGTTCGCCGCATCATTCTTATTTTTCCTCATTTCTCTTTGATCAGATTTCGATGTCGCGTCTTTTTCCATCGGAATTTCAGTCATGATATTATCCTGTTTCCTAAGAAAGATTCTCGCATTTTTTACGCGATCTGGCCACGGACATGTACGTAGGACACAATCGGGGACGAAACCTGTCCAAGTGCCGTTCACGGAACATTGCAACTTAAATTCCGTTAGCAGATTGTCATTTTCATGAAACTTGTAACCACGATGGCAGGAAAATTCAACGATGTCATCATAGTGATAGGTTCTTTCGGAGAAATCATCGATCGTGTTTCCCTCGAGATCACGCACGAAAGTCCGGTTCGATTCTTGCTCGGAATCAGGGAGGATGATGTAGCCGTGTTCTATTCTACGCTCAGAATGTTAGACAATTCTTAAATATTCGCTAAATAACTAAAAACCATCAAATATTAAAGCAAATTTTTAATTTTACGCAATTGAATATATTTAAATGTGAATCAAGTTATATTTAAAGAACGCACTGTTTTGGTGGAGGACATCCATAAAGTACACAAGACGGTCTGTTGTAATCCCAAACGCCAGTCTCCAAGCAGGTTAAATATCTCTCTCCCATTAAACGATATCCAGGATTGCATTTGAATTCCAGTTGCTGGCCAGCCTAAAATGAGCCGCTCAGAAATGTAAAACATTTTAGTCGTCGCGACATTCTGTTTGCAAATGACAAAGACGTGTACCTGCAATATCGTGACGTCATCTCTTTCATTCTCCTCTAGTATATATTCTATATCTCCATTTTCCGGAGCGAGTAGATTTTTGCATGTTGTTCCTATTGAAAAATTGGCTATTAAAGTTGTTTAACCTTGATTTATATTAATCGCGCTTTTATTTTCACACACAATGACAATGTATTTTGCATCTTAATCTTGGTAGCGCCGTTACCTATGCAGATTGGAGGTAATCCAATCCACTTGCCATCGGAATTACAGATGCGATGAGGATTTCCGCGTAGTTCGTAACCATCGGCGCAGGAATAATATATCTCATCCTCGAATAAATATGAATCTCCGTGAATACGTCCGCGTGGAAAATATCCCGGAAAGCCACATTTTATTTCTTTAAACACGGAAAATCAAGAAAGCTTTTTTTAGCTTCGCATTCAAATTCAACTCATTTATCTGAATTAATTAACAATTGAATGGCTTTTCTGCGGCTTTTTTTTGCATCGTAACATACAGAAAGCAGCTCTGCTTACTCGTACAGATTGGTGTGTCGTATCCTTCCCATTGGCCGTGCTTGAGGCATTTTCTTCCGAAAGATCGGTATTCCTCACCGTTGAATCGAATAATGTATCCGTTGTCGCAGGTATACGTTATCTCGGATAGATCCTCGCTCACTTTAATGTTACCTTTAAATGGCACGACGGGTAACGGGCAACCGCGACAAAACGGACTAGCCAAGATCTAAAGACGTCGGGAGATATCGTTTATGGTATATCGCTACATTCGAAAGAGAGAAAATTTAATCCGATAATTGATGCAATTACCACGACGTCGCCACGAACGTTCTGCCGCATTTGCGCCCAGGCCACAAGATTTCCATGATATTTTTCGCAGCTGTTCCACAATTTCGTAATATTGTTCTCGTGTAAAATGACATCCCACATATCCAACAATCCCAGCATTCCTAGGAACGCCTCAGATTCGGAGAAACCGCCGCCTAAGCGATCCTGTTCCTGTCCGATGACAAGGGATCCGTTGGCTGGACGGGATAATGTTTGCAATTTTATGATTTGTGCACGAACATAATTCTTGATAATCATTTACCTTGGATGACAGTTCCTTGAGCCAAATCGATACCGCTATCTTTGAGAATTCCGTCGAGGAACACGCGCCAGGAACCACGTTCGCTCTCCCAAGTAACGCACAGGAAGTGCCACTTACCGTCATTGACCTTGACGTCGGTGACAATTTTTTCCCCGTTAACGTATAAGACCAATCTGCAACGATATTTAACCCGGGAGAATTCGCTCGCGATCGAACACGCGCCAGCATTCCGTTTTTGCATTAGACAGACTAGACAATTTTTTTTATTAAAATACACATTGAATTTTCTGCAAGTAATTACCCATTGTAATCCGTCAGTGTGAAAGCGTTGTCATAAAACATTGTCGCATATGACAACATCGTGCCGTAATTGAAAGTGTCCATCGATTGCAGCCACAGGCAAACAGACAGCTGCAATTGAAAAATTAGGCGAAACGATACGGAATTTTTTAGCTTTTCTTTCAACTTACTTGGAGGAGATCCCTCGCGGGTCCTTTGGCGGTCACATAATCTGTCGTGCCGGACTTCGTGAAATGGATCACGTAATCGGACGATAATTCTATGACCGTTAAAACGGTCTTCAATAAAGACAATATTTCCTGTATCTCCTACTTTAAGTTATTATCTAAAGAGACTATCTATCGATATATATATATATATATATATATATATATATATATATATATATATATATATATATATAGTATATATATA